CTCAACAAGTGGGAAGCCGCAAAAGACGAAGATGATGCCTTTGACCGTTAAACCTACAGGGAGGGGGCATCTCTTGCTCCTTGTTGCCCTGCCCTTTATAGTCCGGGCATCATGGTTTAATGCCTATGAGCGGTGAGGGTCCAATTAAGGTCTCCCTTGCATATCTCCATAAATCTCGTCCGATCCGGGCACCTTCTTCTTGGGCATTGGTTAAGAAGCGACAAGTTCACCATACAAAAAGACTAATATCTTTCCCGCCATTTGAATTTGCTCTATTGGGTTGGCAAAAGATTAATTATAGGAGAGACATTGGATCCGTTACCGTCCGCGTTACGGCGAGTGATGAATGATAACTCGCTGAGTGAATGCAGTACCGCTTCCGGAATCATGCGAACTCCACACAAGGCCTTCTTTGCTTTTGATCCATTGTTGCTGTCGCTGATTGGTTTGTTCTTTTGATGGACTGGTGAGATTGGTTTGTTCAAGACCTGATAGTCTAATTTAAGATTTCCCGCGGTGGCATCCAGGGACCGCGTGCAATGTCCCGAACTGGGCAAAGGGCAGCTTTGCGATCCTTTCAGGTCGACACAATTATCGCATCCAGGCTCAGCCACGCCGCTGCCAATGTCTTTGTTGTCTGTTAGCCCAGTGGCCACTTCCTTAGCCCATCAACTATTCGCCTATGTCAGATGGTATTGTACGATAGTTGGCCCCCCACCCGTGCCTGAGTCCCAGCCCTTGGCGGTGCATCCAGTACCTGGGCGCAGTAGGCCTAGTCGCTATTTCAAGGCCGGCATCAAATGACTATCGAAGTCACCGGGGAGGGGAATGATCATGTTACCAAATGCGTACAATGGAATCGGCACTCGATGGTTGCCACCATAGTTTAAGGCGATCAACTATAAAGCGTGGAGGCAGCCTGGTGAGATGGCATTCCTGCACAGGAGTCTTTCCCTCGTTGTCACTCGCAGCTGCGTGTCCCCCAACCCTTAGTGAACTGTTGGCGCTACCTTCTTCGACGATCTCTGCATTTGTTCCCTGGGGACGTCAAGCCATCCGTACCGTGCTATGTGGTCTCAACTTCACTCTTGGGCCCTAGGCCTTGGCTTGGTATCGACTGTGTTGGCTTCTCCTTTCCGAGTGCAGGAAGTAGGTGCCATTTTGGCTATCGATTCTGACTTCCCCGACCCAAGCTTCGTGCAAGCAACAGATGGCACTTGGTATGCCTTTGGCACCAATGGGAACGGCAAGCGTGTCCAGGTGGCTTCTTCTAAGGACTTCAAATCATGGGCTCTTCTTGACAAGGAGGCTTTACCTACACTTGCCAACTGGGAGACTGAGATAGATCACTGGGCACCCGATGTGATAAAACGGGTAATTTTCCCTCTGTTTCTTTTTGTATTTTTATTGAAACAATTTCTTGTGCTGACTAGGCTTCTAGAACGATGGCAAATACGTCATGTACTACTCCGGCGAGGCCAAGGAGATGGTGAGGCACCATTGTGTGGGTGTTGCTGTCTCTGAAGGCACAGATCCTACCGGGCCCTATGTGCCTAACGAGACACCTCTGTCTTGCCGTCTGGACCAGGGTGGCTCAATTGATCCGGCGGGCTTCCTGGACAAGGATGGCAGCCGCTATGTGGTATTCAAAGTTGATGGGAACAGCATTGGCAATGGGGGTGACTGCAACAATGGCATCCCTCCTCTTAAACCGACCCCTATTCTTTTGCAGAAAGTTGCGGATGATGGCTTCACTCCGGTCGGTGATGCTATCCAAATCCTTGACCGTGACGACAGCGATGGGCCGCTAGTGGAGGCCCCCAACCTGATTCTACATGGGGATACATACTTTCTTTTTTACTCCACACATTGCTACACGGACCCCAAGTACGACGTTCGTTATGCCACCTCGAAGTCGATTACCGGGCCCTATGTCAAAAATGGGGAGAAATTGCTCAAATCTGGTGACTATGGTCTTACTTCTCCTGGGGGCGGCACTGTCTGTGGTTGCGGAGACCGGATGTTGTTCCATGGCTTCTGTCGAAACAACACACGGTGTACATATGCCGCCGATATCTCGATATCAGACCAGCAGGTGACTCTCCTATGACCTTAGTAAAATAACGCCTTTCACACTGTATCTATTTGGAGGAGTTCCGGAGGAGTTACCGGATCCGGGTTTCACTACATATCACTTCACATGACCGGCCCATTATACCTACATTATGTATTTAACACTTGACTTAACTCATATACATATTCTTCGCGCTCCTCAGAAATCATGGTTCAGAACACCTCTCGACAGTCAATACACCAATAGTTGTTGCGGCTACACGATGTCAAACCTGGGCGTCAAAATAGTTGTCCAGCTGTTCTCCCTGATGATCGCCAGCTCTGGTCCTAACTTGGTTACATATCTTGGTATCCTCTGTAGTACGACAGTTACATCTGAGGGGTCTAGAACAAAGTTCGAGCTTTTCATTTCCAATATCTATATGCACAAATGGGTCGAACGGGTAGGACCTTTGGGTATCTCTATATGCGGAATACAAAATCATCCACTCATCTCATGCAGTTGTTACTGGTCTGACGTCACAGTTGCTTCGGTTTTCCCCTCCCGTTTCGATCGGATGCTTCGCACCCATTCCTCAACCCCTTCGATAGCAGCTTGGGGATCCCTCTTATAGTTCAGGAGATACCCCTGGATCTCAGCAGCAGTGCATTGCCCGCCTGGCACTAGCGCAAGGAACTCATCTGCCAAGTTCTGTATTTGCTCCCGCGAGAACTGATGCCATGGGACCTCGGACGTCACCTGGTCCTTCTTCTCCTTGGGTCGCCTCGTCCTTGACGAACGTACATCACCCTCGAGCGTGGAATAGATGGCCGTAAAGAGCTCCTTGATGTCACCGGGCTCGGCGTACCCGAATTGAATCGACATGTCGACCCGACCAGGCCGCAGCAAAGCCGGATCGAGCTTCTCGGGGTGGTTTGTCGTCATGACCAGGATGCGGCCTTCACTGGCGGCTACGCCATCAATCACATTCAGGAGGCCGGAGAGCGAGACGCCCTGTTTCGAGGAATCGGCATCAGCGTCCTCGGGCGCATCACCTTCCTTGCCATCGGCGGGCTTTGCCGTCGAGTCATCGCCGCTGTCGTTGACTCGCTTCTGCGTGATACCGGCACAGTCAACATCCTCGAGCAAGACGATGCACCGACGGGGGAGCTCCTGAAACAAAGACATGAGGTCATCTTCGCTGAAGGACTTCGAGCTCAGATTGAGAAGATACAAGGGAAGCCCCATCAGCCCCGCCACGGCAAAGCACAAGCTCGTTTTCCCCGTGCCAGGTGGTCCATGGAGCAGATAACCCCGTCGGTAGGGGATTCCCCGGTTCGAATACCACCTCCTCGTGCGGGGATGAAGATACTCCTTGATGTCATCAACAAAGGCATCCTTTTGCTCCTGGTCCAAGATAACCGTCGACAGGGGACGTGGAGCGCGCGCCATACAGCGGGACCAATCAACATAATCACCGGGACTCTTCTGCCCGCGGTAAATAATGGTACTGTTCCCGTCGCGAGCGACATACACTCGCTGCGCCTCGGCCAGTAACTCCTTCAGGATGGCAGGGTCCCGTCCAAAACACGACAGATACAACTTCTCCGTCTCGAAGCGCGCACCCCAGCGAGAGGAAGAAGAAGACTTCTTATCCTCCTTTGCCCGGACAAAGGCAAGTAGCTGACCGTGGAAGAAGAAATAGTGCGTCCCCTCCGCGGGCGTGAATCTCAGCCGCTTGAACTTGTCCCGCTTGCGTGTCTTCGCCCAGTACTCGTCGAAATTGTTGATCACGTTCCCGTTCTCGTCATACTCGTCTTCCTCACCCCATTCGTCGTCCTCATCATCGGAGTCGTAATAGTGCAATTGAGTGGAGATCCGCGTTGCGGCGACAAACCGCGTACTCCGGTTCGCGAAGGGCTGCTGCGCCATCCAGTAGAGGAGGTAGTTGGAGATCTCGTCATCGAGACGGATTTCAGCCGTTGCGATAAGGTGAGTTTCCATGACTCCCTTGAGCTTGGAGAAGGAGTAGTTGAGCACCGCAGCGATGGCGATGTAGGTGAGTATATAGGGCAAGTAGAGAGAGAGGTCGATGTGGAGGTAAGAAATGAGGAATCTCGAGATGAAGGAGTAGCCTGGGATGAAGGCTTCGAGGAGGGCCGTGTCAGAAGGGGAGAGGAGGGGGGGAGTGGTAGAATTCATAATGGTCTTATTGATGGTGCTTGAAAGTTGTGCGGACTCCATGGTGACTATGGCTGGTTTCAATCAGGGACTTTGAAGGTGTTTCGGCATGTACTGTATATACTCAGAGCCCGTCTATTCAGGGGGTTCGGGAAACGACAACAAGAGAGAGGAACGAAACCGAAGGAATGAACGACTCGAGTAGTCGGGTCAATTGACTTCCTGTTTTCCCTGAGTGAATTTATCCAGCGACCATAGTGGGTGTTCTCACATCCTTATAAGTTCCTCCTACCTGCCGCAGGCAGCACAGGTCCGCAAGGCAGATAAGACGGGTTGACTAGGTCGACAGCAATCCACTCCAGCGTAACAAGTGCCTGAATCATGAAAATTTGTTGATTTACATTCCACCATGGCTCTACAATTGGCTCCAAGGTGTGGCGCATTGCGGCTGACAATTTTCTTGAGTCATCTTTCTTGCTCACTGTGATGGTCGGGTACCCGATTCGGGCAGACCCGATGGGGCATTGATTCAATGACGTTGCGATCGGCGCGGAAGGATTTCAGCCTCACTGATCGCATTGCCCAACTTCATTGGAGAATTCGCTTCTCACTTCTTAGAGGAACGGATTGCAGCAAACCGAATAGATTAAGAATATCCAACAAGATGTATATTATCCAACAGAGAAAAGTGGGTATCTTTAAAGCAACGAATAGTATATGTTATACCGCTATCATCGAGTCCATGGGCTCTGCGATAACGTCCGAATTAAGGGAAATTGTCCTTCACAGTCTCAATTAGGTCACCTGCCCAATCCTTCAGGTCCTCGATTTTATCCCAAAGGGTCCCCCACCAGGTAGAGGGTTTGTCGTTGTCGCTGTCCGCTTCATCGTCTGACTCTTCCTCTGGTGAGGCCTCGGGGGCAGTTGTAGAGGCAGCTGTTGGGCTTGTGGAAGCCGGTGCAGCTGAAGTCATGCTAGGCGATACAGGAGTAGCCGGGCTGCTAGCTGGAGGGTCCGATGGGTTTTCAAGTGCCGGTGTATCTTCGTCCGAATGGAGGCCCACGGGTTTTAGAGGCAGGCGCAGTGTTCCATTGTTCGGACGTGGGTCAAGGCCAAGAGTATCACAGATAATGTTATATACATTGATATTTTCTGCCTCGGTTAGTCCGTTTCCATCAAAGGACAGGATAACACTTACGGAAGACTTCCACCCGGCTATTGGGTTGATGCGGGAATGCCGGGCCTCTGGCGATGAATATCGCCCGCATCAAGGAATTTTCATGATCATACCCGTGGACACCCCTCGGGTGATATATTTCTCCTTTCTCCAAGGCGCTGTGAGCGTCAAAGTCAGATCGTTCGACCACCGCCCAGCCAGTCTTTGGAATCACCCAAAGAGGGGCGATGCGATCGTTGTTCGTAAAATGGTAGCGCTCGGGCATCGTCTCGCGGGTGTAGATCTCGAGCGCATGTGAGTAGTTCACAGCTATGCTCTCCAGCTGTTTCTGAAGCGTCTCGAGATCTTCTACTCGTTTGGGACGCAGCCCACGCAATGGCCATCCATCAATGCGATCCACCAGGCTGAGATCGATCAGGTCATCCAACTGCACCAGTCGTTCGGTTGCTGTGGTGGCCATTCCATGGTCAGAGACAATTACTATGTTCACGATATCGGTCAAATTCCGGTCTTGCAAGCCAGCGAAAAGGCTACCCAGCATATCGTCTACTTCCGAGATGGTGCCCCGGATCTCTGTGCTGTTGGGCCCATACTTGTGCCCATCGGCATCGACATTGGGAACATAGGCAGCGATGAACTGAGGTCGCTCCGAGACTACTCCAGACTCATCCTCGAGGCCAGACACATCGAGGAATTCCAGGATGCGATTGACTTTGCGAGGGAGCGCTTCCGTGCCATTGTACTTATCTAGCATTGTCGGCTCAACTCCGCCAATGTGCGCCTCGGAGCCAGGCCACATATGAATGGCAGTCTTGATCCCCTGATTCTCGGCAGCCATCCACAACGGTTCGGCATTCCACCATTTAGGCTGCATACTAACTGACGGGTGGGTGTAGTAGAACTCCTCCTGCAACTCCGGGTCCCAGAATGTGTTCCCCACGATTCCATGGCTTTCGGGATATAATCCGGTAACGAGAGTAAAATGGTTGGGGAATGTGACACTAGGGAAGCTGGGGAGCATGTACTGCGGCGATACCCCCTCGGCAATGAACTTGTTAAGGGTTGGTGTTAACCCACGGTTGAGGAAGTCCGCTCGGAACCCATCAAGAGATATCAGAATCGTGGTGGGTGCGAAAAGAGCAGTGCCGTTCGACAGTAATGTTTGGGAGGCTTTGGTGGTCCGGAAAGACGTTGATGCTTTGTATGATCCGAGAAGGAAGATGAGGAAAAGAACAAAGATCGCTGCGAAGACCAGGGCGAGCTTAAGCCGCGAGACGCGCTGAGGCCGCTGATAGAACAATCAAGTTAGACTCTGAATAATGAGCATACGCTTGGTATGGGTAAGACAACCATACCTCATCACCACCATATTCCTTAAGTTGTCGGTCTAAGTCGGACGACGATCGGCTCAGGAGGGAGCTCTCGTCGTCCTCCCGATGACCCTCTTCCATCTCGAACATCAGCTCTCCCGAGTCAGTCATTTTCTCATGCTGTCCTCTGCGCGCATCTCTTCTTTCCTCCCGCCGTTTTCGTCGGCGTTCTCGCTTTCCGATCTTTACACTTGGGCTGCTAGGGCTGAAGATTCGCCGCAGACCGTGCGATGGGCCTCCCCTTATCAATAGCTTCTCCGTTTCTTCCTCGTCGTTCAGCACAGTGCGATCATGCTCTGCTAGTTCCAGGGTTGTGCGAGATCTACGGAGAAACTCGTCGTCCTCGGAATCAGAGTCCTGCTCTGACGGCGATCGTAGGGACTCGGCATCTTCATCGTAGTCGCCGGGGGAAAGGAGGGAATGACTAGGGATATCACGTCGGGTAGGCATGGGGGATGATAATAACGAATGGCGGGATCAGTCAATCCCGAGATTAAATCAATACATTGACCTGACGATAAGGCAAACTAGTGAGTGGACGAGGGAAGCAATAATTGACTGGCTGATTGAATGGTCAATTGGTCGCTCATTCAAGCTGCGGGTCATGAATCCGAGGCGTGACTTAACAGCCTTAGTCAGCTACGTTCGCTTCTAGAACAGCATACGGGTAGTCCTTTTCAAGATAAAAGGTATGGTAATTATAGGCTATACTCCTAGAAGAGGATTATATCGAATTATGAAAAAAAAAAAAAAAAAAAAGTTGAGGTGTCAATGTCCTTCAGAAACAATATGACATGTTGCTTCAAACTGCCGCCGGTATATATATATAAAAGGTATCCAACAACATATAAGTAGCCGTATCGCCATCAACGGGCAAGAAAAGCATTGGGTACCAGTAGAGACATACACACCAAACAAGCTATACCTGAAGATAGAAACTGATATTGTCTCTAGGACAAATAGGGTGAAGATAACTGAATTAAGGTAGAATATCTTGTTCCTCAAGACAACTCGCTTTGTGAAGATAACGGATAATTAGTTTAAATGATTAACTAATCAGCGTCGGTAGTGTAACGGTTATCATTCTTGCCTTCCAAGCATGAGACCCGGGTTCGACTCCCGGCCGACGCAGCTCCTTAATACTTCTTTTTGAGCCTCGCATCACATTTTTTTTCTAGCTCACGTCCCTAGTCGAGATGTACTTGGATCAGGATAGTAGCTGTCTCCTGAGATATTGCTCAATTGGCATATTGCCTTCAACATGGTCACGTTTCCGAAAAAGACCGTCCAGTATGACGGGGTAAAGATGCCATACTCTAGCTTGTTCGCCAATCGAAACCACCCCCCCCCCCCCAAACAAAAAGATCGTTCTTTTTAACTGCTCTTCTTTCACATAACGTATTCGGAAAGCGAGCGTTCCACGTAACCGAGCGTTCCACTCCACGCGTTTTGACCGTGGTAAAAAAGTCTATCTAATTCAACTACCAACTATGCCACCAAAAGCGCTTAAAAATTCAAAAGAATTAGTGGAAAAGGAAGGCAGGGTTCTACTTGCAATCTCTGCTATTAAAAAATAAGAAATTAGCTCGATTCGTGAAGCTGCACGTATTTTTAATATTTCTTATACTATTCTATATTGTCGACTGAATAGTATATTATCACGCGCTGAAATACGCGCCAATGGCTATAAATTGACTCAAAATGAAGAGGATTTATTAGTACGCTGGATTCTATTATTAAATCAATATAGAGTGCCCTCTCGGCCTTTATATGTACGAGAAATGGCCAATATTCTGCTTATTAAATGTGGAGATATTTCTTCTACTACTATTAGTGAGAAATAGGTATATAATCTAGTTCAGCGCAGAGATAAGCTGAAATTCTGTTTCTCTTGCCGCTATAACTATCAGCGCGCTAAATACAAGGATCCGAAGTTTCTAAATAAGTGGTTTGAGTGTGTACAAATTACTATAATATAGTATAGTATTCAATCGGACGATATCTACAACTTTGATAAAACTGGTTTTGTAATAGACTTGATATCTACTGCTAAAGTAGTTATCTGAGCTGAGTTAGCTGATAGATCTTTTCTTCTGTAGCCAGGGAACCGGGAATAGATTATTTCTATTGAGTATATTAGCTCCAGGAGGACCCTTCTATCTTGTATTATTTTTAAAGATAAGATTTATGTTGAGAGCTGATATAAGATAGGTCTACTATCTAACTGGTATATAGAAATAAGTATAAATAGCTGGACTATTGATAAGATAGATCTACGTTGGCTACAGTAGCTGTTTATATCTCTTACTAGCTGTACAGTTGATCGATATTGTCTTTTAATACTCGATGGCCACGGTAGTTATTTGATATCTCAGTTTGACAATATATACAGTCAAAACAATATTATACCGCTCTGTATACCTGCATACTCATCTTATCTACTTCAGCCGCTTGATATAGACTGCTTTGATCCTCTAAAACGCGTGTACAGATAGCTGGTTAAGAATAAGATAAGATTAGGCTTCAACTATATCGATAAACTTAACTTTCTTGAAGTCTTTTCTCAGGCGAGAGCTCAGATATATACTACTAGTAATATCTGCAGCAGTTTCTCAGCTACTAATCTTATTTCTTTTAGTTCTGAGTATATACTATCTCAGCTGAATATTCAGCTAGAAATAATATCTCTAGGCAGTAGATCTAGTAGTAGATCTATTGATTCAGTGTCTAAAATATCTTACAATCTAAAGCAACTATAAAAGTAGGAGACTATACTGAAGAAGCTGCTTAGAGCTTGTATAAGGAGCTCTGACTCGCCTATTAAGATAGTGATAAAATAGCTTTTCAAAGGCTATGAACGAGCTTTAAATAAAGCTACTATTGTAAAGTAGGAAAACAGGGAACTACGCGCCGCGAATATAAGAATATTTAAAAAGAAAAAATACTCTACTAGATAGATTACTATAGAAGCAGGCGCTTCAGTTCAGGAAGCTCAGGAGCTTATATAGAGCAGGAATTCTACTAATAAAGCTATATCTACTATCCCGGTAGATATAGTATCTGTAGTAGAAAGTCAGTGTGTATGTGCTCTATTAAAGTGCTCTGGCTGCGGTATTCTAGGTTATAAAATTACTTAATATCCTAATTGTCAGGCTATTTAAATTTTCTATAGAAATACAGATTTTTCGGTGTTTTGAATAGATTCAAAATATGAGATGCGTAGAATTCGGGAGGGGTGGAACGCTCGGTTACGTGGAACGCTCGCTTTCCGAATATGTTATAGTCAAGATAACGCTTATACAAGCAAGGATAGATTTTCAAAAAATCTAAGAAGGGTTGACTTGTTGCGTCGGCCGGGAGTCGAACCCGGGTCTCATGCTTGGAAGGCAAGAATGATAACCGTTACACTACCGACGCTGGTAGTTGTCATTTTAACGACTAACACCGGAAAGATACAAAATGTATTATCTCTTTAGTAAATCCTTACACCAGAGGCAATGAATCCAGCATGGAACTCAAACACTGCCCACTAGTACAACACTAGCCCTTCTCGAGCCGCGCTCCTGCCGCTCTGTATCCTTTCTGTAAGACTGACCAGCCTCAGTACGGATTTGGCAGGACTCAATGAGACTCTGCTGGTCCCAAACGCCGTCATCCCTGTCAACCGAATTTTACCCACCGTTGACCGTGGGTGCTTCCGGCTTCGTCCTTCTGGTTCCAAGAGTTCTATTTGCATTCAACTTAAAGACACAATACTTTGTGGTGTCGGTCGGGTTAACTTTGGGTCGGTGCCACCTCGATTGAGATGCCTGCGTTTGATGCCTTGTTGGCGGCATCACGATATCCGCATCCGGTAATCGGCTGACGACCGATGCCCTTTCAGGATCCATCGAGCCGGAATTATGCCATCACGTGATATCTGTGGCTTCATGCTCGCTCTGGACCGTCTCTCTTGCTGTCTGTCTATTCCAATGCGCCTCTCCGCTGTTTAGGCCGTATGTCGAGCATACTAGGATCTTGTGCTTCTCCGGATGCAGCACCATTGAAATAAAGTCATCGTGCTGTATGGCCACACCGGTTGCAGGCCTTCAGCCCATCAAAGGCGAGATGAATGATTTCGTTCTCCTCTATGGTACCGGATTAGTGGCCCTGGGATTACTATAAGAATCGTCAGATGAGCTGCCTAAATCGTCTCATCATCAGTCTTCAGTTCATCACTTGCATCATATCATATACACTTTTCATCGACACTTCGATACATTCTCTCAGAGCGATCCTTGATCTTTCCCTTTTCAACTAAAAGCATTGCTTTACTTTGTATTCTCCTCATCTCATCCACTTAATCACAATGCATATCTCGAACCACGTCGTCACTGCTTTGGCTATCGCTGCCGGTACTGCCAGTGCCTGGGATACGAATGGCGAGCACACGGTAACGATCACATCCTGCGAGGAAACTGCTACCGCTGCACCAGTTGTCCCACCCAGTGCTCCTGCTGTCCAGCCAAGTGCTCCCGCTGTCCAACCTAGCGCTCCTGCTGTTCAGCCCGGTGCTCCAGAGGCTCCCGCGCTACTGTCCCGCCTGCCCGTCGCTGACGTCTGCTGCC